CGGGCGGGAGTCCTAACAATAACACTACTCTTGTTGACCCGGCCTGAATTTTTATCAATAGACAGAATAGGTTTTGTTGGGTTTGGTAATATATATAGCTGAGACCAATTACAGTGGGTGGGTGGGTGGGTAGGTGGGTGGGTGGGTATGTGCGTGTGTGTGTGTGTCTACTGGTCCCCGTCAAGGAAATAATACCCTGACAGGTTGACAGTACCTCAATAGCCCGCACTGGCTCAGGAAACAGACTCCTCTCCTCCTCCTCTTGCCTTAGCAACAGCGAGAAGAGGAGGAGGAGGAGGAGGAGGAGGAAGAGGACCACATCTCATGGTCTTAGCGTCTTGGGTACGAAAAACAAACAACTATGATATGTTTAACTCTTACCTGTGTTATTAACCTGCCTATAAAGTCGATTAAGTTTTTCAGTGTGATAATCTTTTCCTTCACTTTAACCCTTAAACACACACACACACGTCAACAAATCTCCGGTGACAGGTGACAAGTGGACTCATAACAGAACGCTAACCACCCGAAACTCGTCATATTTGTCATATTTGTAAAGCACAATGACAGATGTGTGTGTGTGTGTGTGTGTGTGTGTGTGTGTGTGTGTGTGTGTCTGTGTGTGTGTGTGTGTGTGTGTGATTGACGGCCGTGTTGATGCGTGCTGACTGGTCATGTAAGCTTGAATCTTAATGAAAGACCACTAAGCTGATCCAACCTTTATTATTCAGCTTGCAGATCACATGTAATGACAGGCATGTGATTGGGCTCGATTCTTTAGGGCTAGGTTAAGTTAAGTTAGGTTAAGTTAGGTTAAGTTAGGTTAGGTTAGGTTAGGTTAGGTTAGGTTAGGTTAAGTTAAGTTAGGTTACGTTAGATTAGGATATGACAGCAACCCTTTAGAACAGGAATCCATTAGTACATAGTTCCATTAGTACAGACACCCAGTAGTATAGACACCCATTATTAGACACCCATTAGTACAGACACCCATTAGTACAGATATCCATTAGTACAGACACCCATTAGTACAGACACCCATTAGTACAGACACCCAGTAGTACAGACACCCATTAGTACAGACACCCATAATTAGACACCCATTAGTACAGATATCCATTAGTACAGACATCCAGTAGTACAGGCACCCATTATTAGATACCCATTAGTACAGATATCCATTAGTACAGACACCCATTAGTACAGATATCCATTAGTACAGACACCCATTATTAGACGCCCATTAATACAAACACCCATTAGTACATAGCTTTATTAGTACAGACACCCATTATTACAGACACCCATTAGTACATACATTAGTACAGACACCCATTAGTACAGACACTTAGTACAGGCACCCATTAGTACAGATATCCATTAGTACAGACATTAATACAGACACCCATTAGTACAGACACCCATTAGTACAGACACCCATTATACAATTAATACAGACACCCGTTAGTACAGACACCCATTAATACAGACACCCATTAGAACCGCCCATTAGTACAGACACCCATTAGTACAGACACCCATTAATACAGACACCCATTAGTACAGACACCCATTAGTACAGACATTAGTACAGATATCCATTAGTACAGACACCCATTAATACAGACACCCATTAGTACAGGCACCCATTAGTACAGGCACCCATTAGTACAGATATCCATTAGTACAGACACCCATTAATACAGATACCCATTAGTACAGGCACCCATTAGTACAGGCACCCATTAGTACAGATATCCATTAGTACAGACACCCATTAGTACAGACACCCATTAGTACAGACACCCATTAATACAGACACCCATTAATACAGACACCCATTAGTACAGACACCCATTAGTACAGACACCCATTAGTACAGATATCCATTAGTACAGACACCCATTAATAGACACCCATTAGTACAGGCACCCATTAGTACAGGCACCCATTAGTACAGATATCCATTAGTACAGACACCCATTAATACAGACACCCATTAGTACAGACACCCATTAGTACAGACACCCATTAGTACAGACACCCATTAGTACAGACACCTACTAGTATGACAATTCAGGAATTTGACCCCGAGTTCAGGTATTTACCGGGAAGGGCGAATGTTGTCGCCGACGCTTTGTCAAGAAATATAGCACCAGTAATGCCTGTATCAACGTTCACTCTTTCGCAACTGGAGGATGAACAACGACGTGACCCGTTATGGTCAGCAGACATTTTTGCTCTAGAATCGGGAGAGGATGTTAAACTCCCCAAATTAATTCTTCCCTTAAGTCAGTTTGAATTACGACATAACATACTCCATAGATCGAAAAAGACGCCAGAGGGTATTGTTTCTCAAATAGTCGTACCTCACACGTTGTGTGGAACGATTATAACGTTGTTCCATGATGTTCCACAGGCAGGTCACCAAGGACGTGACAAGTGCTTGGCGGAAGTAAAAAATAAGTATTTCTGGAACACAATGAAGAAATATATAGAATTACACATTGCTAAGTGTTTGGCATGTGCTCAACATAAGGGTACTACAAGTTCACCGGCACTGATTCTACAATATCCTACACCAGACCGTCCGTTTGACATAGGGCCGGATTGATAGTCATTACGAAGCACAATGCCAATTGATAGTGTTCGTGCTGGTCTATTAATAGTCATCCCAATAAACGAGGTATCGGAAGGGAACCATACGCATATCCCTGAAATGTTGGAAACAACATCGGGTGGCTACCCCCACCCGATAGCTGCCTTATGACAAATAATAATCATCATTATATTTTATGAAAGTTCTTCCAGTACTTCATATTACAGCTGTCTACGTCGAATTATATTATTTTTTGGATAAGAACAATTAAAAGAAGTGTTATTACGGATAAACGAACTTTGATAACACTGTTATGAACTTGAAACATTATTGGAATGTTGACATCACAGCTCCGACTTCGATGAAGACTGCTGTCTGTGCTGTGAGCCTCATCTTCAATTAACAATTACTTCTGTTATCATTTAAGGTATGTTTCTTATCTTTATTCATTCATACAATATTTTTGTCGTAGTAGTAATAAAATTTCAACCATCTGAACCGCGAAATTCACTTATGTTTTCCGGAATGAGGCAAGCCAAGTGAGCTCACTCTATCTTGAGTTAGCAAGGAAAATATCACAGTTTTTGGTCCTGTAATAGAGTTTAGTATAAACGTTAATATTTATTTTCAACAAGATATAAGCTAAGGTTTACGATCTACAATGTCTTGTGTGTGTCAGGCAGAAATATGACGACATAAGTAAGCATTAGATTTCATTTTCTTTATTCTTTAACTTAAATATTTACTGTCACTAATAAAATAAAGAATAAGTACAGCTTACTATCAATACAAATAATTTGCTCTAAAATTCTGCAATACTCGGCTACATCACAGTTTTAATGATACACACAACACCACTCTTTGGTTAAAAAAATCTATTTACTTTTAATTTTTACAATTGATATTTTCATTCATCTAAGTATAACTACATTTTTAGCTATATTCTAAACAATATCAGAAAAGGACACAGCACAGTAGACAGTTTGGGAGTGACAATTGAACAACTTGACGTAGTTTTGCTCTTAAGAAATTTCAATGCAATTTGAAGTGTGTACAATGCAAGGCAGGGGCCCCCACTGCCCTGGGATGAGAGATCAGTTTAACTTTGCCATCTGTATGATGGTATTCAATCAGCAACACTTACAGATTTCTATAAAAACATTGATTAATTGAAAAAAAATGTGGATCAGTCATATTTAATATTTTGTTAGGTTATGTTAAGTTAGGTTAAGTTAAAATTGGGTAAGGTTAAGTAAGGTTAAGTTTAAATTCGATTAGATTAAGTTAAAGTGAGGTTAGGTTAGTTTTTTTTTTTAAAGTTAAAAATAGGTTAGATCCATATTTTGTGCCAGTTATTCACTGGTAATGTGGGGCAATTGTGAAGGGGTCAGTTGTCCTAGAAATAAATTTTTTTTAAATTTTTTAATTATGAACAAATAAATAAAATGATAATGTTATGATTTTACAGCATGCAGACCTACAGGTACAGACAAGACTTTGATGAACTCGAAGAAATAAGGATGTTAAGTCTGCTAGATAATATGAGGAAGCGACGATTTCATGTAAGACGAGATCCTTTTCAGCATTATAATGAAAAGGAATTTATTCAGCGCTACAGATTGTCGAAGGACAGCACCAGGGAGATGCTTACAAAAATCAGACATCTTCTCCCGATGTCACCGAGCCGTAGAGGTTATCAATTATTTATTATTTCAATACAGTATATTAGTGCTCATCAGATGCTTGAGGAACAGCTTGATAAATGTCATGATCATGAAATATGAAATACAGTTGGGTCTTCATTTACGCGGTCAATTGAACCCGCGGAGTAGCGAGTAAAACGAGAAACGCTTAAATGAAATAACAGAACATATGGGATTAATTGAAATAGAGACTGGGCCGACTCCCAAACTCCACTTTTTCAGACACAATACCTACATTGTAGTATAATTTGTATCTTAACTTTATGATGGTATGCACACACACATAAATTAGAAGAGAAATATCAATAAGAGAATAATATACTGTACCAGGTAAAAGAAAAGTCAAGGTTTAACCCTTACGTTAGGTTATGGTAGGTTTGAAAAAATCTGGGTTAGGCGGGAGATGGCGTAAATGACCAAAATCGTAAACGAAAACAGCGTAAATCGAGACCCAACTGTATGTTTTTAGTGAGAGGGGGATGAGGTTCAATTTAAACAAACAGTACTGTACAGCATAATTTTTTTCCCTGTGAGTGCTAATTCCCTAAGACATTACGAGGAATAGTATATAAGGTAGTATCATTTATTTTCTCTCTTTCCTTTCAAGCATTCCAATTCCTCCAGGTTTACAGCTACTGGTTGCCATGAGATATATGGCTACAGGAAATTTTCAAATAATTTTGGGAGACTGTTCAAACATGTATCAACCAAGTGTTAGCAAATGTGTCCGGGATGTTTCTGCTGCCATTGTCACTCTTGCAAGAGACTATATTAAATTCCCCTTACCTGGACAAGAAGAAGAGTTCATGCAGGAATTTGCCTCTACTGGAATGCCAGGTGTAATAGGCTGTGTAGATGGGACTCACATTCCAATCAGGAGCCCTGGAGAGCCAAATCCTGAACTCTACAGGTGTAGAAAGAATTTCTTCTCCATTAATGTCATGGCCGTATGTGATGCACACATGAAATTTACAAACCTTGTCGTAAACTGGCCAGGCAGTGCTCACGACTCCCGCATTTTCTCAACTTCAAGACTTTGTGACAGTCTGCAGGCCGGTGATTATCAAGGCTTTCTCCTTGGTGATAGTGGATATGCATTGCGTCCATACATACTCACTCCAATCCATAATCCATCTGAAGAAAAGCAGAGGAAATATAACAGATCTCATATCAAAACAAGAGCTACAATTGAAAGGACATTTGGAGTGTGGAAGAGGCGATTTGCTGTCTTGCAACATGTAAGATCAAAGCTGTGTACTACCCAAAATATTATAAATGCATGTGCAGTTCTCCATAATATTGCTTTGATTTCTGGACTTCCACTGGACATAGAAGACATGCATTTCGAAGACCCTGACGACCCAGAAGAAATGGTCAGATATGGAAATCATGAAGGTCAAGCACGGAGGGAGTATATAGTGGAGAACATAAGAACATAAGAATGGAGGAAACTGCAGCGGGCCTATTGGCTCATACTGGGCAGTCCCGTTTACACCCAACCCCTATTGCTCATATGAGCATCCAACCTATGTTTGAAGCAATTCAGCGTATTCGAGTTAATGATGATATTTGGTAACTTGTTCCATTCATCCACTACTCTGTTTCCAAACCAGTGTTTACCTATTTCACGCCTAAATCTAAATTTGTCTAATTTAAAACCATTGTTACGAGTTCGCTCCTGGTTGGATAATTTGAGTACCTTTGTAATGTCCCTTTTGTTTAGCCCTGCCTTCCACTTATACACCTCTATCAGGTCGCCCTCGCTCTACGTCTCTCAAGGGAGTGCAAATTAAGATGCTTTAACCTGTCTCTATACTCAAGGTTCCGAATGCCCGGGATTAGTCTTGTCATTCTCCTCTGAATTCTTTCCAAGGATTCTATATCCATTCTGTAATACGGTGACCAGAACTGAACTGCGTAATCCAGGTGTGGTCTCACAAGAGCAAGATACAGTTTTAGGATGACCTCGCTAGTCTTGTAACTAACACTCCTTTGTATGAACCCCAGTACTTTGTTAGCCTTGTTACGAGCAAAAACACATTGTTTACTTGGCTTAAGGGTCCTACTTATCATTACTCCTAAATCCCTCTCGCTGTCGGATTTCTCTATGGCATCGTTGTTCATCTGGTATCTGGTTTCCCTGTTTACATCTCCTATACTGAGTACTTTACATTTGTCAACGTTGAATTTCATCTGCTATTTTTCAGACCATTCGAAAAATTTGTTTAGATCTTCCTGTAGTTTTGCCGAGTCCTCGTCAGATTTGATAACACGTCCTATTTTAGTGTCATCAGCAAATTTACTTATGTTGCTGTCTATGCCGATATCTATGTCGTTTATGTATATAATAAACAATAATGGTCCAAGTACTGAGCCTTGGGGAACTCCACTTGTGACGTTGCTCCAATGGGACTTAGTGCCGTTAATGCTCACTCGCTGTTTCCTGTCCTGTAACCACGCCCTAATCCATTTAAGGATGTCACCTTTGATGCCATGAGCTTCTACCTTTCTAATTAGTCTTTCGTGGGGACTCTGTCGAAGGCTTTGCTAAAGTCGAGATATACCACATCATAATTGTGCCCCTCGTCCACCGATTCGAAAACTGATGAAAAGAATGTTAATAGATTAGTTAGGCAAGAACGTCCGCTTGTGAAGCCATGCTGGGAATCATTGATCAATCGGTGCTTCTCCAGGTGATTTCGAATAGAGTTTGAAATGATTGCTTCCAGTAATTTGCCTACTATTGATGTTAGACTGATTGGGCGGTAGTTAGAGGATAGTGATCTATCCCCCTTCTTGAAAATCGGTATTACATTCGCTATCCTCCAGGATTCTGGTACTACACCTGTTTTTAAGGACATGTTAAACAACTTTGCTAAGGGCATACTGAGCTCTTCCTTACATTCCTTTGCACAGTATAACATATTTTATAAATACCTGTATACACAAAACAAAACTTTATTCTTTATCACAGAAAATAAATTCGATTTTTGAAAATCACAGCCTTCATGTATATTATAAATATTCACCCCCCACAAATAATTACCTGCCATACTTATGACACCTTTTGTAAACAAAAAAAAACCTTTGTCAAAATAAACACATGTATGTTTATTTCCTTCAAATAAAAGTTGTTGAATATGTAAGAAACATAACGATTAACTTTTACTTTAGATGCCAATTTCTGAAATATTACATCATTATTCATATGTTTTAGCCATGGCATCATATGCAGCTCCTGCTTTCCTTAAAACACTATCTAACGAATCCAAAGAATTATTCAATTTTTCATGTGTCTTTTCAATCCATGCAATTGCAGTTTGTTGTAGTGTTTGTGTTAACATCATTTCTTTTTTCAGTTGCATTTCCTCCTCATGCTCCCTATTCAATCTGTACAACTTAGATTTATGTAACTCTTCCTGTCTTTGATCACACATTTCATAGACACTTGTCACCCTCCTAGTTCGCCTTGGTTTGCTCCTTGGCCGAGAACCAGATGCCGTGGACACTGAATAAAGGTGTTGGTTGGAAGCATGAGCAGGAGGGGGTGAGGCAGAATCACTTGATAGTGAGTCAGGGGCATTGTTTAATGTTTAATGTTTAATGTTTTGGCGTGTTTGTTTACAAAACACAAGCCCATACAGCCGGTCATTCTCCACACACTAACAACCCTCCCTACTGTAACTACGATAGTTGAACCAGTCTATATTAAATACTCGTTCCTCCTCCTCGCCAGCCACTTACGAGTCCCCAATAGTTTTTCTTCGCTTTCTCTCATTTCTTTTTAATAATAACAATAATACCAAGGATAGCTGCTGCGTCGTCTGCATTGTTGTTGTGATGTTCCGTCTCCCTTCTACTCGCACAGCGGCGTTAACTTTTTTTCTTGCTGTAGTAACTGAACCAAGAGCCACTCGTGTGACCACATTTGGAAGAAATTACTCGTAATTTCTTGCTCCAAATTAATTGCTCATCAAAGGGATCGTGTGACCGTAACTTAAGTCACCCATTAAGAAAAACTGTAAATACTGATTCACAAAACTTAAGGATAATTTCTGACTTGGAACCATCGGTGTAATGCAGAAAACAGTTATTGTATTCTAAAACCTACCCAAGAAATCTTTTACCCACTTACGATATAATTCTTTTCTATTCCATCAATAGATGTTATTTTACTTTTTATACGTATTTTTATTTTAGTAATTTATAAACTATTTTCTTTATATACTTCATTACCTTTAAAAGAGGTGGGAGTAGAGGCTGGGAGTAAGAGTACAAAATAAATAATTATAACTTAACAGCATGGAAACTTTATCATGCTTTTCATTACCAATGTCTGGGCAAAAGTGGTTGTAGGTGAAAATATAAATAATACATAGAAAATCTGAAAATATGTTTCTGTTTCTAATCTCAGCACCGGCAACTCACTTTTAAGCTAGCCCAACCATTTTTAAGTGAATATACTCGAAAAGAATTTTGTCCGTGTACTGACGTTGTGTCAAAATATGTAGATTTGGGCCAAATATTAAATTTTTGACTGAGGCAGGTTGTAAGTGCGGGTTGTAGTAGTCGTTAGTCTGGTAGGAGCTATATAATATGAAAATATATAAATTGACCATTAAAAATTGAGAAAGAAAACATGTTTTATACTTTTCGATGCTTTGATGTTCACCATCAGTATATCCTAATACAAACATAGAAAAATTTTTTAAGTGGGCCTAAATCAGGCTAACACATATCTACTCGGCTACAGTCATATCTGCTATAAAATTATTATGATATGTTAGTAATGATGACTCATATGCTTGACCAAAGTCATTTGAGGTGACACTTCAGAAACTGAGCCTAAACCTGTTTTGACTTATCTTGCGGAATATTTTTTGGCTTACTTGCTAGTATGTGGGACACCAGCCCCATACTTGTAATATTTCTTGATGCATAGCGATGGTTGTAAAAATTTCCAGGCACCTAATGTAAGCACAAATCTGCAGAATAATACCTGTTTCATATACAGTCAACCCTCGCTACAGTCAACCCCTTTACGCGGTCCCACTTCTGCGTTTCCACGTTTGCGGTACCCTGCGAAACAGGAATGCTCACATTCCGGTGCGTAATGCCCACGCTGCGGAGAGCGGCTGGCAGGCCGCACCATTTTGGACCCAAACCTCCCGCCATCTCTCCTGCCATCCGCCATGTTGTGTAGCGGCGTGAGCATGGTCTGCTAAGGTCGCCGGTCATCAAAACATTACCGAGTTCTTCACCCGCCACCCATCACAGCCGGCCCAAGTCAGTGATAGTGATAATTATAGTGAGGATATGGACTTATATGGACTTTGAAGGGTTTGACAAAGAGGCCTGCAAGCCTCTGTGGTGGATAGTGATACAATTGGTTACAAGTGATACAGGTGGGGCCAATAATCTGCCCTCTGCCTCGGAACCAACCGCCCATCCCCGTGTGCCCAGCCATCTTTTCTAGTAATGTAAGTGTTAAAAAACCTAATATTATTGATATTTCTCTTAATTATTAATTGTGTGTGCATACCATAATAAAGATAAGATAATATTTTTACTACAACATAGTTGTGTGTCGTCAAAAAGTGGAGTTTGGGGGTTGGCCCGGTCTCTATTTCAATTAATCCCATATGTTATGTTGTTCACTTTCCGCGGTACCCTGTGGGTTGAATTAACCGCGTAAAGTGAGGGTTGACTGTAGAGTTATATGCTGTATAGCTTCGTTCTATGACAATGGCCACCCATTGTCAGTGAATAAATGGCACAAAACATGGAAATAACCTAACATTAATTTAAAATAACCTAACCTAACCTTACCTAGCTTAACTGTAACCTAACTTATTTTTTACTTAACCTAACTTTATTTTAACCTAACCTAACTTTAACTAAACTTAAGTTAATTTATCCTAATTGTAACGTAATCTAACTTAACCTCATCTAACCTAACTTTAATTTAACATAACCTAACGTTAATTTAACCTACCTAACCAAATATTAAATATGACTGTTCCACTATTTTTTTTCACTTATCCATAACTTTTTATCAATGTTTTGCAATTACTGATTTGTAGTGTTAACAAAAATGTTGTAGTTGTCATCTTTTGTATAAAATTATTACTAAAAATAAAACATGTCAATAAAGTATTAATTCTTAGTGTTCCATGTTTTCTTCAATTTATTCACTGGCAATTAAAGATGACAAACAAGAGAACCTAACACAGTATGGCTGAAGCACCCCTTTACTGGTGTATCCTCCATACCAGTTCCTTCATTATGAATTTAATTTGTGTTTCAGATATCATACACAATTTTAACCTAGCACTCTTAGTAAAAATAAATCAATGGCTAACACTTGCACATATAAAATATATGGTCAATACTACTCAGACACCCGCATGAAATAGCATATAGGCATACATAACTTATA